TTATGTCAATAACTGGACAAAATTATCAATATGACAATATTTATCAGCCCGTTGTTGAATACATTGAGCCTGTGAATGAAAGAGCCTTGCACTATGTCAATAACTGAACAAAATTATTAATATGACAACATTTATCAGCCTATTGTTGAATATATTGGCCAGTGAATGGAAATGACAAAGTTGACGTTAATGCTAAGAAACAAGTATTATGTAAATATACTGTTATTAACTGCATGTCATGTTTTTTTCATATTCATTACCTGTGGTTTTCACATGCCATGTATTTCCATTTAGGCCCTTGCAACAAGTATACAACCTGACAAATTAATAAATATTATCAATGAGTTAAAAAAAATTAGAAAATAATGCACTACTAAATTTTCTATAACAACTCTAGTAAAACATGAAATATCTTAGAACAAGAAAAATGTGAATTACACCACTTGTGCATAATAGGACCCAATGGGCTCAAATACTTATTATTTATGACCAAATTATGCAAATCAGCATGCGGATTTCTCTTACATTGAATTCTTTTTGTATTGTGCACAATAGCACTACATTGTTTCTCTCCTTGGTAAATGAAATAATGTTCATTACAGTTATGTAGCGGACAAAATTCTACTTGGCACTTAAACTTTTGTATTGTTTTTAACATTCAATCACATATCTGTCAATGTGTTGTAAAATAATGTATATATATTGTATGTGGATTTTTTATAGTGAGCAGTTGATATAAAACTCTGAAGAATATACTACTATTGTGTTATAGTTATAAATATTTGTATTGGCTGAAATATGATCCCACCCCTACTCAAGAGAAAGTCATTGACAAAAAACACTGATTCATAACTTAGGAGGAAAGGAAATGGTAAAATTCCAAGCTTTATAAAGAGAGGCTTACAAAAGTGAGGTGGTAGTATTTGCTTATTATTCATACAATTCACTTTAGAGCCTTACCACAATTCAAAATTGAATCAGGAGTATTGCAGTTTCCTCTTTTGTCTTCATTTTCCCAATTGGTGGGAAGGGACTAGATAGATTCCTTTGCTGATTATATGCAAATATCGTTAATAATTGTCACAAACATTTCCCTGACTTTTAATGAAACTTATAAATTTCGCCAACTTTTTCTGAACAGTGTAATTCTTTGTTATTTGTTTCCCAAAAATTGTTCTTGTCTGTTTCGCTGTTTCTGCTTAGTGCTGCTCTACTACAGGTTCTGCAATCGTTGTTCCACCTACCTCATATTTATGAAGCCCCTTGAACAGGCAGGGATTTACCTACAGGGAGAATTTAATGAATCTTTCTAGCACACTAAATCAATGCCTATGATTAATTATGTAATCTAATTTACACACCAGACGAGCATGCAATCTTTTTCGCAAAAATGGCAAATTATGCTTATTTTGTTTATGGTAAATATAACAAGACTAGGATTTTGTAATACATTATTTTTAACATAATTAAAAATTAAAAAAATATGTAGGTTTTGACATCATTACCATGAGAGAAAGAATGCTGCATAGGTGAGGTGGAAGATTTAAAAAAAAATTCTTTCATTCTTTACTTCACTAATCTGGGAGTAAACTAGAGTTATGGGTGCATGTATTTCTACAAGGAAATTTATAAAGATTTTGTATAAACTTTATTCACTGTATTGAAAAGAAAGGGTAAAGCAGAAAATTGTGTGATGAACATTTTCAAAATAACGCAGACTCTCTTGATGAAAACTACAAATTGTTAATATGCCACAATACAAGACAATTAGAATTCTTGCAATCTCAAGTAGCAAACTTCTTCTTTCATCTGAAAATAAATTATACCAGACTATCACTAAACCATTATGTACACATTCAATTTTCAAAAACAAACAAATATTGATTAGAAGGATATAATCAAAACACTCAAAATATTAATCATGCTGTGAGAATGAACAAACTCCAGACAACAATTTTCAATATTAATTTTTAATTGATATCATATTAATACACCACAAACGGAATAAATATAACAACAATAAAATGACAGTTTTTTCAACTACCACCTGAAACAATCACTACTACAACCGCCACCACTACTACTACAAATAATAACAATGAAAATAAGAAGAAGAAAAAAAAAAAACGAAGAAGAAAAGGAAAAGAAAAAGAATAACAACAATAATTACCTTTTTCACAAATCCTTGTTTACTTCCTGTGTTTTCGGGATTTAGTTTTAGATGTACTTGCTGATTGAGTTATTGTCTTGTCAGTTATATGTGAGGAATGCAATTTATCTCTCACATCTAGAGATTCAGATGTAATACTTGTAGAAATATAATCCAAATTTTCTTTTTTAGATCGAGATTGGGATCTAGTTCGTATGGATGATGTTGATTTGCTTCTTTCATATTCATATTTAGACTTGCCTCCTGGTGGCAACCATAATTTATCTGTCTCCTCTTGAGATTTGGATCTCTTTTTTTCAAAAGGAGATTTGCATTTCTCAATCCAAGATTGAGATTGAAATTTATTCCCACTGTGTGGAGACAAAGATTGTTTTCTTTCATTGGTATATTTAGACCTATTTCTTTCTGATGGAGATCCATATTTTTCTCCCTTAGATGGAGATTCAGTTTTAGTTCCTCCATTTGGCGATTCTGATGTTCCTGTTCTAGATTGGGATTTAGGGTTAGTTACTGCATGTGGTAACCATAATTTCTCTCTCTCCTCTTTAGATGCAAATCTCTGTTTTTCAGAAGGAAATTTGCATTTCTTCCTCCCAGATTGAGATTTAAACTTATTGCTTCTGCAGGGAGGCAAAGACTTCTCGCTTTCATCTGAAGAAATTGACCAAGTTCTTGCAGATTCTAATTGGTTTTTGTTCTCAATTACTTTCTCATTTTCATGTAAGTAAGGCATGCAAAAGTTAACTTTTCTTGCTTCATCTCGAGTTCGTGGTCTTGACATTCGAGGGCCATGATGCTTTTGAGTTTGCCGTGTTATTTTGCTAGTAGATGTGCACTTCTGTAAAATGTAATTAGAATGCAGTTAAGAAACAATTTGCAATATAAAGTTTATTTTGCAGTTTTACAACTGTTTCTATACAATTAGAGACTATATTGAGCATCCAAAAGTAAAGTAATATTAATTTTAACAATGACATATAATGTATTATATACCATTTGGATTGTATAATTCTAAAGAACCTGTAACAAGTATTGTACTCCAACTTCTAGGTCAATGACCCCCATCTCGATCAGATTTTTGTCCAGTTTCCCAGATCCTAGAGGAAATGCTGAGATAGCACCTTGTTTTGCTTCTGGACATAAATGTAACTTCAAATTAACTTCTCCCAGTAGCATGTCACACACAATTTTTAACTGTTTTTGACAGTAATAAATAAATAAAGAATTGGTTATATCATGGGCAAACAACATAGATTTTCAATAATTATAATCAAGTAAGATATCCAGTGAGAAAAGGAAGCTAAAGCATAAAATCCTGAAAGCTTTTAGTGTTATCAATATCCTTGTCATATTGGCCACTTCTTGGGTCAGTTAGAAGAATATAATATAATAGTACTCTCTGATTGTACATTATTTTTTACTTCCTTGAACACTAGAATAACACAGAACACTTAACAATAGAATAACAGGTACAATAGAAAACATTTTATAATGCTAAAATAAGTCAATCCTTTCTTCTGTTTGAAGGGAGAACTCAGTTGTGTGTTTCACATATTGCACCAGTAGTCAGTTTTCTGTCCTTATTGCTGAGATCATAAAACAATCCCACTGGAAAAAAATACTGTCACATTTATTCTGCGTTTTGATAGATCTGTAAAAAGTCCATCATTGAAAATACTCTCTTCATCCATCAACTGATCTTGTTTGAAGGGATAATTGAAAGTGTGACATCTTTAATTACATTCCTATTTTTGATAATTTCTTATTTTTGGAAAAAACTCAATTTCTTCAACAGTTGCTCCAATTTATCATTGTCATTCACCAGAACATGTTCTGATTTTATTAAATGGCCATAACTAGGTCAATATTGTCCCAATAACCATTGCATTATTATAATGTAGAAATTGTAAATAAAAAATCAAGCGATTCAACAAAGACAAAATATTCTATCCAAAAGTGAAATTACAGGATAACATGAAAACATAGGCTGCTTTTTTCAGAAAAAAATGTGTGCTGGAAAGCTCTAAGGAGTATAAGGAAGAGAGGATGACAGAGAACTTATTCTGGCCATTGTCACAAAAATAGGATGCATGTTATTTTGCGTTGCTATCAAATTCACGGCATCTTTTTGAAATCTCTACCACACATAACTCAAAACATAATATTATATCATCAATTTTTCTCCTCTCCTATAAGTAACATATTTCTACAGTGCCACATGTCAAATATTACATTAAAATTAATGTAAGACTTAACATGGCAACATTTCATTATAATAGTTGGGGGACTGTTTCATATTCTTAAAAAAATATTAATTATTAACTCAATTATGTTCTGTGTATTTTCAAAAAAGGTTTCTAACTGTGAAGTAAGTTGTAATTTATTTTTCCAAAAAGAAGGTCACATGCCACCTTACAGACCATTTACACATGTTAGCACTATCCTAGGTAAAACCTGGAAATTAATTTCTTTTATTTAATTCTGCCATTTAAGAAAAAATATTAGATAATTCCAAACAATGTTTGCAGCATTCATTTAAAATTTCTGATTTTTAAAATTAGACAGTGAGACAAAACACTTCTATAAAATTACAATTTTGTGGCATGTGACTATCTCTAATGCAATGCCTCAATTGCATTAATCATTTTTCAAGGAAACAAACAACAGAGCAAAATTCTATAAAAGAATATGAAACTTGAAATACATATTTTACAAAAACTAATACAAAACAATTAAAATTAATTAAAATATGCATATAAAAAATATTTCTTTAACCCCATGCAAAAAACAACAACAAAATGCCATTCAAATTTGAAAATTACATGTGTACCTGGAAGAATTCTAAAACTGCACCTCGCATTTCCTTTGCCATCTTATGTACTATATGAGTACATGGGTTATAGAGAAGTGCATTGTCAATCATTAATAAAACATCGTTTTCCAGTTCGGTAATATTGCTTATAGCACCGGACTGTATATTTTTTTTGATAGTTGGAAAGTCCATTGGCCTGAAAAGAAAATTGTATTACTAACCATAGTCAGAATCTTAAAATATAATTTGAAGATACAAATGTATGTTGAAGTTACCTAAAAATAATACTCTTGTAATCTGGAGCCTCTTCTTCTGTGACTGGCTTTTTAAATATTTGAGCATTTTTAAACTCAGTTAGTTGGTTGTACAAAAACATCAACGATTTATTCATGGACTTTAATTTCTGTTCACTCACTCTAAATAATAAAGAAAAAGTACAATGATATTAAATAAATTCGAAAATACTGTTACATTATCCAATTATTAAACATATTTCTTCAGTGCCACATGCCAAATATTAACACATTGGAAAAATTAAGTGAACTTTGAATGAGCTTAATTAAATTGAAGTTTGGAGGTAATGGCAAGACGAGGATTAATGTACGATGATGGCAGTGACAGACTTAAATAGAAATTTGGATGGGAAAAATGCCTAATGATGCAAAATCCTTGCAGCAGTAGACCAATTTCCTTAAGCCATCATTCTATGAAATAATAATTGAGATGTAAGTTCCAAATGCTCATTCTTCAAATGTAATAGGCAAGTAATAATCTTTTTCTTACCCTTGGTTTTTCAGCACTATTTTAGTCTGTTCTTCTATGTGTTTTTTCTTATAATTTAAATTATCTTTTTTTTTATCATTATTATTTTCTTTCCAGATTTTATTCTGCTTCAAGATTTCAGCATTCCTCATTTCCCCTTCTATTGAAAATGTTTTACAAGGAGGATCTATGTTTTCTCTGTACTCATATTTCTTCATCGAGGCTGTTATTGTTAGATCAGGATCTTCATTGCTTACTCTAGACTCTTTAATTTCGCTTGTAGTAAGAAGCTTCTCCAAACAATTTGGGTGATTATTTAAAAACGTGTTTTGCACTGTCTCCTTTAGGTGATGTTGTCTTTGAAAATAAATCTCCTCTTGACTCTTATCTCTTCTGCAAGTATCTTCTAAAACAGTGTGAATATCATCTTCACTTGAAATACGACTACGAAGCTCAGATTTGGCTATTGGTTTCTCCATTAGTACTGGTGATTTCTGCCAAACTGTTTCAATATCTTCTTTGAACTTTAAATCATTCATTTTTGGTGTTGATTTCAGCAATTCAATTAGAGTATCCTCACATTCATGTTTGTTGACAATTAGAACTAAAACAATATGCAAAATCAAGTGTTACAAATATCTTTTCATTATTTCCTAAAATTAAATATTTGAAGTTTATGCAACCAAGAAACATCATTCTTATTTAATCTACCTGGTTGTGTTTGAAGGTATTCACTTCCTGGAACAAAATCAGTAGTTAAAGAATTACTCTCTGTGCCTATGCAAGAGTCTTTCACAACTGAAAAATAAAAAATACCATCAATTGTAACCATTTCTCTTTCATATTTCCGTAAAATAATTATTTGTAGTTTATGCAAACAAGAACCAACAATTTTATTCAACCTACCTAGTTGTGTTCGATAGTCATCACTAGTATCCACAAAGGAAAGTTTTCTCATGTTATCTAGGACTAAATAATCACTTCCTTCTTTGCTAACACATGACTCTGCCACAACTGAAATAGAATATACATCATCAGCTGTTACAATTACTCTTTCATTACTCTCTGAAATAATTAGGTATTTATAGTTTATGGAAGCAAGAAACTCAATTTTTATACAACTTACCTGAGCATGTTTCATGGTCATCACTTGCTTCTACAAGAGAAAGTTGTCCCATCCAATTGGTTACTGAATAATCCACATCTCCTTGTCTAACACAAGACTCTTCCTCAACTGAAAAAGAATATGTAACATTAGCTGTTAAAATTGTATTTTCTTGATTCCCTAAAATTATTATTTATAGTAGTATATTCAAGTAAGAAACACACTTTTTATTCAACCTACCTGGTTGTGTTCCTTGGTAATAATTTTTTTCACATGTTACTGAAATATCTTTCTTTTTGTTTTCTTTTATGGGAGATCCTTTATCATGAATGTATATGTCATTTTGTGATTTTTGAAAACTCACTTTTTTCTTCTGATTCATTGGAAGTGGTTGATTTAAATAATTTTCAACCAAATCAGATGTTTTAGAAACTTCAGAAAATTCAGCTTTTTGAAGCTCTATTGCAGTATAAGTTTGAAAGTCTTCTTTAAACTCCACCCTAACCTTCTCACTAGAGTTCCCAAAAATTGTAGGAAATATAGATGCTAGCCTCTCATTTATTCTCATGTCTTCAGTTAATTCGTAATCTACATCTTTGATTTCCGGAGTTAACAACGGAGTTAAACTTTCTTTTACATCTTTCACTAAAGTTTTTGCTCTTTCTGTAATTTTTCCCCTTATACATTCAAAAATTATTTCACACTCTCCATCATTCAGTTGTTCTACTACCTGTTCTTGAGTTTTACTTGTTTTAGATAATTCTTTATTTTGAATTATCGCAAATGGTTTTTGCATATTTACTTTTGGGTTTACTTGCACCACTGGCAGATTAATAGATAATTCTTCTAAACTTTTTTTTTTTCTTTGTAGTAGACCTTTTGCTTCTGGTTTATAGGCTGTTTTGTTCTTTTTGTTGTCAATTTCAACTCTTGATGATTCTTCTAGTACATCAGTGTTTAAAAATGATATTTCTTCTATATCTTTTACAGGTGAGTCCCATCTCTTTGCGTTATCCTTTGTGCAAATATTTTCTTCAATATGTAAAATTTCGAAGTCGTTATTTGGTACTGTTAATAATTTGGAATGCAAACCTTCTGACATGAGTTTCTTTGAGCTAGTAGAATATTGGCTTTTAATGTTCTCATCACTGATTGCATTAACAGGTAGTTTTGGAGTTTGTTTTGAGTGGTCTGTAAGTACCCATCTTTGAGTTTCTCTTGCTTCTGATCCCTTCTGGCATGTTCTCTTTTTCATTTCTTCAGGAATTCTATTTTCACAAACCACACTCATCAATGCAGATTTCAATGGAATGGGAGAAGTGGAATGTTTTGCACTACAGGATGTAGAAACAGCAACTAGAAATAAATCATACAAACACTTTTGCATTCATGTTTTCACAAGTTTCGTAAGAAAAATGAGAAGAGAGGAAAGAAGTCACAATAAGTTGTTTCTGTTGCATTTAGGTATAAATTCTGTTCAATGTATATTAAGATACTGTGTTGGCTCTTGACAAATTAATTTGGTCTATACAAACTTTCTATTCAGTAAAATTTTTTTGTAATAGAAAGAATACTTAATTAATTGTAGTTAAAGTATAATTACCTGTAATCAATAACACATCAATCTCACATTGTTTGTGATGTTTATGTAATGTAATTGAACCTACAGAAGTAATTGCTACCCGCAAAATATTCTGTCAGACTGGGATTTGAACCTAGGCATATGGGTCTTGAAACCATATACTTATATGCTAGACGTCCTGGCTGACAACATTTGAACAATGCTACTGACACATCAAAAATTAAGATGAATTTTCGCAGTTGTCAATGTTATAATAAAAATTGATCTATACTTTATTATTTAGTGAACATTACTAAACAAATGTGAAAAAAAGAAAATTAAAACCACACACACACACACACACACACACAAATTTACACAAAAATTCTGTCGAAATTATATTCTAGAGATAATATTAACTAATATTAACTATATAATTTATATTTTCAAAGAACTGAACAAAACAGTAAATACTGAACTCATTTTCAAGCTCAGATTTTATGAAGATAAAATTTATCTTCAATAATGTAATTGCTTTAACTAATAATGTAACTTCAACATTTGTAATTTTTGAAAAATCACAGATATCTTTTTCTGACAATCAGATCTGTGTCAACTTTGCAAGCATACTTTGTTAAATTTAAACAAGAAATTTTTTTTTAAAATTTAAGTGGAGCCATGTTTGAGAAAAATTAAAAAATGTATGGATTTTATGTAAAAATTCAAAGGGCCATGACATCTGCCTGATTGATAATGGAAAACCTTTTTGGTGAAAATCTTATGTAATTTAGTGTTGTACACAAACAGATGGAGAAACATCTGGAGAAAACACACTTTTTGACAAGGAATTTGGGATTTGCCTACAGGACCTAACTTTCAGTATTAATAGGTGGTATTTAAGCACTGTTACATAACATGAGAAACAAACAATTGTTTCTCATGAATAACTCCAACTGATTTACTTGTTAACCTGCAATGAACATTCTATTGCATTCCATTGTGTTTGTCAAGTGTCCCTTCAAGCACAATATATCAAATTATATATTTTTATTTTTCTATAGAGTTTATGTGTAAGAGAAAAAATATACTTTAGTGTGTATTATTTTAATTTATTACTAATATTTATTATTTCATACAAATAGGAAAATTGTGAATTTATTAAAATCTTTTCATTGAAATATACAAACCTTTATTTACATTTCCACTAATGTTCAAAATTTTGGTTATATCTATATTCTCATCAATAAGTCTTTGCATATCAACTTCTCCTTTTTGTTTAAGATCATAATATTGTTGTTTGCATTTTTCTGCAGAAAACATTTCAGGAGGCTGGTGAACATCTTTATACGTAAGTATTACCTTGCTTGCAACATCCCTGAAAATTAAAACTTTAATCTCATAACATCTAGAAAAGAAATGAGAGATTCTCCTGATTAAGGGCCTGTTCACTCATGAACAGCAACACTATCTTAACACTCAATGGTTTGAAGCGTGCATTGTGATCTGCTCTGTGTTTTTGTGCTTCTGGTAAAGGACATTAATAAAGAAATTGTTGGAGGTTATTGGCTTTGGCATCATTAAGTTTCCATGTCATCCACAGACTGGAACTGGACTGAGTTTGTTATGCAGGAAATTTTAGAAAATTTCACTAAAGAATGTGCTTTACATCAAGATGTATCTCAAGAATTACAGGATCCATATGTCATTAAGAGTTCCTTTTAATAAAACCGTTTTGAATGCCTACTAATATCTTAAGAACAACTAAATAAAAGTGCTGAGAACTTTCAATTGCATGTATCTCAACTTTTTACTTTGGCCCTTAGTGTGGAGAATGCCTAAATTGGTACATTTATGCAATACCTACCAATTTTCTCCATTTATCATTACACACCATATTAAGCATGAAAGCAAAGTGCTTGACCAAGTAGTGTCTTTGTTAACTGTAGTGGAGTTAGGTTCTGAAAAACAAAATTTTCATCAATTCCCTTCAAGGCAAAATATAATATATATTTATAGTATTATTATAATATATAAATAAAGCAAAATATTTAATTGTGAAAATGTTCAAAAGAAAAATTACTTTTCATATTTCCTAGACATGTTATCTTCAGTCATTTATTTTTAAGCTTCTATTTTTACCTCAAAGAAAATAACTAATAAAGTTGCTGAGAAATATATTAAAATAGAAAATAAATTCCTCTTATTTTGCAAGTTTGAGACAAATAAAAAAAAGGACTTTGCAAAGGACTGACTTAAGCCACAGTCTCAGTCTACAATAGAAATACAATTGAATAATAAAATTTATCAGAATCCTATACTGTAGGACTAATAATCTGATAACCAGAAGGTCTGAAATACATTGTTTATCTTCCAGGTGTTTCTGCAAAGTACATTTTTTTTCATTCCTCTGAAGTAATTGTTCCTAGGAACAGCTGAATCATATTTTTAATAATGAAGAAAGCAAATTATCCTTATATAAATAAATTGTTCAAAACAAGTGTCATCCCAGTCATATTTCAAACCTGGTACTCCTCGATTACCACAAATAATTTGTCTGCAGATCTGTGGCCACATAAATGATAGTCAAACGTTCTGGTGTGCATTATAACGAAGCTCATTGTTGTTGGTGACTGATGGAAATTTCAAGTATTTTGTTGCCATCCATTTTTATAGGTCAACTAGACCAGGTTTTGGCACAATACAAGGAATTATTACAATGTATACAGGATGAACTGATGAACAAATTGTATTCCTGGAGAATATCTTGTTCAAATTATTCTTTCATTTTAGGTTTAAGTGTGAAAAATCTGTAGAATGTGTGTATAATTGTGACACAGCAAGCTTGCATGTAGTGATCAATGATGCATGTTATTGATAAATTAACATAACAAAATATAATTTCTTTAATGTCGCAGTCAACTAAAACAAGTACAACTGTGAATGAAACATATTTCAGTTGCTGGCTTTTAAGGGGGAATGTAAAAGAGAATACGGTGAAAAAATTGATTTTTTGTTTTTATTCACTTATAGCTTTTAGTACATTTTCCCAAAGTTTTGTGCCAATCAGGTTGAAGGATAACATTTAAAATTAAAATAAAATCATCAAGCATGAAGACAAAAACTTGATCGACGTCTGTGAAATGATGATGGAGAAGAGAATGATGGCAGTTGTTTTAAAATGATATACTTTATATCCTATCTATATTGTTATTGTGTAAAGGATGATAAACTATCTATGTTTAGGGAATAATGATATAAGTTTTGATGAAGGTAATATTTTAGTAATTACTCTTCAATATTTGTAAACAATTTTTCACAATTTTCATTTATATGATATATGTACCATTCCTCAAAAACTATTTAACATAACATTTTCCAATTTTGTACATAGTTGCAGTATAACAAGAAAATAATTTGTAGGCCACATTTTTTTTTCAAATATTGTTGAGATTATTAAATATTAATTAATTAAAATTTGTATGTATTTGGCATTTTGGGTCGATAGTCAGACTTTGCCAGTGAGCTAACAAGTCTGCCCTTGCCTGGACATAGTTACATTCCCATGCTTGAAAGAGTGACATGTGGTGAATATGACGTTCACCATAACTAGCAAAATTTACCTGCCTGAGCTTTTTTTCAACACATAGCTACAGAAAATGGTATGATTTTTAAAAAGAAGCTACAAAAAAATTATTTTCTTTACCAGGAATTGAACCCAGAACCACACCATGGGAGCTAGTACATTACTTATGAGCCATCCTAGAGGCCCTAATTAATATTTAACAAAATATAACTAATGTTGCAATTTCCTTACACTTGCTTGTTTATTTTACCAAGAGCAGTTCTGTTAAGTTCCAAACTTAAATCATGATTGGTTTTCCAGAAAACTGCACCTTACTAAAGTTAAACATTAAAAAAATCAAAGGTTCATAAATGTAACAATTTTAACCAATGGCGATTTTTAATAATAATTTTTTTAAATATTAACTTCTTCAGACTATAATATTTTATTATTATACATCAAATCCTTGCTTCATACAAATTTATAATTCTACATTGTGTAAATCTGCCTAGAGTCTCCCCTCCTCATCAAACTTTACAATTTAACTACTAATTGATAATACGTTTTAGTTTGTATATTAATTATTGTATTATTAAAATACTACTATACATCCTTCTGTATTCAGAGCGATTTAAAAAAGAGATGAAGTGTAATGAAATAAAATTCACCTAAACCTGAATTGAATTTAAATATTAGTCTGTAGGATCTTAGAGAGAAAACTTATTGCAATTAATATTGCAAGGTATCTCACCTGATAAAATCAAATTAGAGAAATTTTGTGCTTGTTGGAGACAGACTGGCTTTGCCAACTCGTTCTCAAATCTGGGACACTCCATTGGAGGTGTTAAAATTATACAGTCGTGATCGACACCTGAATACGTGGGTTTTGCAATGCACGAAGCTGTTGGAACGCTATGTGAAGTTCTTGAATATTTCTAGTAAGGAAGAAAGGTCATATTTAGAATAAAAATAAAGTATTTTTGTTTAAATTTATGAATTCCAGAATATATTATTCATAATTTCAGAAAAAAAATTAAAACAATTCTGTTGAATATTAATTGTAAATTAACTTACTTTAAATTCAGGTATTGAAATTTTTTTATCAGTTTTTAAGACATGTGCTGTGGTTGGTTTAATAGCCAAATCATCTTGTCCTCCTTTACACAAATGTAACTCCGACACATCTTTGATATTATTTTGATGAGCTGGAAAAATTATGAAATTTCATTAAACAGAATGTTCAAATTTGAAAAGAAACAAAAATGATCACTGAAAGGGAACAATAAGAAAACAAATTTATAGTGTAGTTTATTACAAAGTAATGGAATACAACTAGGTCTCTTTTTGTTAAAACATAAGGAATTATTTTGATCTGAAAATTGTTTTCCTGTAATTGTTCTTTCATTATACAGATCAGTTCAATGTGTGAATTGAAACCACTAAGTCCAAATATACCTATAAAATATCTGAAAAAGATTGTCCATAAATTCAATGGAAAAGTAGAGTTGATATCTTAGGACATGTAACTGTATAAGCTTTGTTTACAATAGAACTGTTATATGTTCTACTTCTGCTTCAGATTGAAGAGCTACTACCTGAGTTCCTAAGAAACTACAACACTAGACTTAACATTGGCAACACATTTTCTTCTTCTAAAAATGAACTGCAAATTCTGTTTCTTCATCACACTAATGACCCTGAAGTTCATCGATAAATTCTGTCAAATATAGTTATTCATGAAGATTAGATGAAATACATTCTAACATTTTAAACTAGAGGGGAAACAACAGCACATACTCTCACATTATTTCAAAATTTGCAATTTTCAAAACTCAGAGTTCAATGAAAACGTGACCTTCACCATTTTTTAATCACCTTTTCTTCTATAGTTGGGGGAAAATTCAAAGAAATGGAGCTGTTTATGAGAATTTGTTTGGACATTGCATAAATTTCAGACACAAATTACCCCTAATCTACTCGCTTTTCCAAAAAAATGTACATGACCTTTCTTTAAAGAGATCGATTTTTGCAACAGATTATGTCAAAGAAAAAAATCTCCATCTTCAATTTTGTAGTTTTGACATGTTACCTTTTTGCAATTTTCTGAAAAACAGAGTTTGCTGAAAAAGAGACTAGCATCGTATTTTTTACCATTCTTTGATACATATGAGGAGAAAATTAGAAGAAAAAACTGTGAGCAGTTTTTGAGAAAAAAAAAATTGTGAACAAAATTTCAGTTGCTTATATTTTGCACTAAATTTCACAACTACTCATATTTTGTAAAAATTGAACATGATCTTATTTCAAGTTCTATCTTTAAAGAACAGATTTCATTATGAAAAAAATCTCTATCTCGCATATTATAATAGAAGGAAGATGCCCAAAAATATTGTGCTATTGCAATTTAAAAAAATCTGGGATTTCAATGAACAGTCGACCTATAAAAATATCTTAAGCATCTTCTAAGCTATCAGAGAAGCTATTTAAGTTAAATAAATTAGAGCCATTTTTGAGAAAATTTGGAAAATATTTTTCTAGCTTCATGATAAACCCCCTCAAAATAAAATTATTCTGTTAAAACTCCCAAAACCTTGAGTTCATATAGATGTATTGGGTAATATCCTTAATACACTAAAAACCTACTTCTCATTGAATACAAAAAATAAATTGTTCTCAAAACTGTAATAATCAATTTTACAATAATTTTAACAAAACTTTAAAGTGGAAGTAGATAATGAGGTGTGAATCAAACAGTTTGTCACAAGTGTTTTGAAATATTCATTGATCAAAATCTAATTTTCAATAAATATGT